AAAAAAAAAAAAAAAAAGGGCGTGGGAAAAGATAGGAGAAAAACTCAAATAAGTGCAAATTACTGATAATTCTTAAGTTAGTTGATGAGTTATTATGCTTGATTATTTATTTGCATGCCACATTTTATAACTGTCACATATTACGTTAAAATATAAGTGCAAAATTATGTATAAAGTGTTGACAAAATTTATGCATGGTTGTTTTTAAAACCATATGCATGATTTGCAAAACCATGCTTGTTTTATCAGTCGGGTCTTTAGGTTATAAGTAACTCAGGTTAATTTTTTTTTTTTTTTTTTTAGAGATAAGTTTCACTTTACCACCCTCGGTAGAGTGCCGTGGCATCACAGGTCCCAGTAACCTCTAACTCCTGGGCTTAGGCGATTCTCTTGCCTCAGCCTCCAGAGTTGCTGGGACTGCAGGCGCCCACCAGAACACCTGGCTATTTTTTTGTTGCAGTTTGGCCGGGGCCGGGTTTGAACCCACCGCCCCTTGTTATATGGGGCTGGCACCCTACCCACTGAGCCACACGTGCCACCTCAATTCAGATTAATTTTAACAAAAAAAAAATGGTTTTATTAAAAGTAATTCTCAGGGCCGGACACAGTGGCTCACGCTGGTAATCCTAGCACTCAGGGAGGCAAAGGTGGGGTGGATTGCTTGAGCTTAGGAGTTTGAGACTAGCCTGAGTAAGAGGGAGACCCCCATCTCTAAATAAGTAGCTAGGCATTGTGGTGGGGTTGTGTCCCAGCTACTCGGGAGGTTGAGGCAAGAGGATTGCTCAAGCTCAGGAGTTTGAAGTTGCTATGAGCTATGATCTCGCCACGGCACTCTACCCAGGGTGACAGAGACTGTGTCTCAAAAAAAAAAAAAAAAAAAAAGTAATTCCCAGGATTACTGAGAGGAAACCAGAAATTAGAGGCTACACAGTGTCTAATGCCATCAGAGAATTGCTTCAGTGAATACTCCACTGTCTCCACTTTGGGGGAGACACTGCAGCTTACACTGATGACTTTGCCAACATTGAAAAATGAACACTGTCACTAAACAAACCACTTTTGCTGCTCCTCTGTGGAGCTGAAGGTGGTAGTGTTGTTGGTCAAGCTCTGCAAAGGAACCCTGTTTCTCTGTATCATTAACTTTAAAGTTTAAGGCAGATGTATCTTCTCTAGCTGCAAAGGAGGCTGAGAAAACATGTATCTGGCACTTCAAATTTTTTAGGAGGGAGGAAGGTTCTGCTTCCTTAGGTGAGAGATTCCCATAAACACAGGAGTTAGGATGTGGTGCATCTATCAAAAAAGAAGTGATAGATGTCTGCTACTGCCCATTCTCTTTGCTATTCAGCGTCAACACACTTATTGAGTTAATCCTTAACACTTGTTAAAGATTAAAAGGTAAAAGTTCTTGACAATGTAACAGACACTTGCTTTCTCAATATTCTCTTTGCTAAAGGAATACCGATTTTATTGGGGAGCAAGTACCTTCCTTTGAAGCAAGCAGTGGCCATTTAACTGGTCAGGCAAATAAGGCAAAGGGAAATCTGCTTGGGCTTTCTGAGAAAGTTTTGCTTCGCCCAATAAAAAGGGATAGATGAGGTCTGACAATTAAGTTCATGATCTTGCCACCCTGCATTTAAATGGTTGACAGGACTGTACAATATCTCAGGAAGGTTTGATATATCAGTGCCTCACAGCTGTGTTTGTGGCAGTACCTTGCTGAGTGACATTCATTATTTTTGCATGTTTTTGTGTGCCATCGCTGAGAATGTCAGAGCTTATATTAGAGCAACAAATAAACATTAAGTTTCTTGTTAAATATGGCAAGAGTGGAAGTGAAATCAGGAAAATGTCAGTCCAAGTTTATGGGGATAATTCCATGAAGAAAACAGCCACGTACAAATGAATTAAACATGTTTTTCTGAGGGGGAGAGAAACTGTCACCCATGAAGAGAGATTAGTGTGCCTAGTATCAAGGGCAACTGATGGAAACATTGCCAAAAGCCATCTAATTGTGTGTCAGTGTTGTCAGCTGTGAGAAGCACAGTAGATCAAGTTAACATTGATAGAGAAACAGCCAGAGAAAATCTTGGCACGAGAATATGCGAAAATGGTCCTGAAGGAGCTCACCATTGAACAAAAGCAAAGCAGAGCCAAAGTTTGCCACGACCTTTTGCAGAGGCAAGATGATGTTTTGGGCCATGTTATCACTGGAGATGAAATATGGGTGTACTAATAAGACCCTGAAATAAACCATCAGAGTGTACACTGGAAGTCAGCCAATTCTCCATGACCAAAAAAGTTTTCTCAGTCCAAAATCAAGAGTCAAAACAATGCTGGTAAGAAAAAAAAAAAAGGGTATCAGAGGTATTGTGTTTTTTTTTTTTTAGTATCAGAGGTATTGTTAATCATGAATGTGTACCAACTGGACAGTTAACCAAGTTTACTACTTGGAAGTGCTGAAAAAGTTTATGTGAAAAAGTTAAGAAAAAAACATCCTGAATTTTGCTAACAACTCATGCCTCTTGCATCAAGACGATGCACCAGCTCACATGACACCGTGAGGGAGTTTTTAGCCAGTAAATAAATAACTGTATTGGAATGCCCTCTCTACTCACCTGATCGGGCTCCCAGTGACATTTTTCTTTACCTGAATATAAAGGAAATATTGAAAGGAAGTCAGTTTGATGACATTCAGGTCATCAAGGGCAATATGACAGTTCTGATGGCCATTCCAGGAACAGTTCCACAATTACTTTGAAGGGTGGACTAGGCACTAGTGTCAGTGAATAGCTTCCCAAGGGGGTACTTCAAAGGCGACTGTAGTGATATTCAGCAACCAGGTAAGTGCCACTTTTTCTAAGGTGAGTTTGCAAACTTAATTGCCAGACCTCATAGATACCTGGCACAAACCTTTTCCTATTTTTCCCCCCTCCCTGTAACAAGGGCATGACATGTAGCTCAGCAGCAACCTTCTAGCAACTACAAAAACTAGGATGAGGATGACAGCCAACAGGGCGAGGAGGCAGACTGAAAGAGAAAACGGCACCTTTTCCTCTATCTCGCACAGACCAGATAAAGCATCTTCTCTTTCAGTTGTATGCATGCACTCTCAGCTACACCATTCTAGAAAACAGATAGTATCTCTTCAGTTAAGACTCCATTTATTGAATTCATGGTATTTTTCTAATATATGAGCTGTAGTGTTTCTTTTGCACTACTGATAAAAGATAGATTTTGCTAATCAAGAACCACCTTAACTCTGAACAGTACATGGCATTTAAAGGCATCTTAAGTTAGTGGATGAATTATATTTCGGTCTTCCTGGGTTAGAATCATGGTTCCAGTTTGGACAAATAACAACTTCCTCGTTCCTGAGTATCTGTAAAACGAGGTATAATTGAAACAGAGATTATATAATACAGGACCTGCCACACAGTAAAGCGCTCAGTTTCTGGTAGCCATTATTGGCAATAGCATCATACTGGCTTTTGTGGCCCCAAGGTTTCCTACTTCTATTCCTACCCATTTGTTATCTCTATTGGACTCTGGTACAAACAGTCCCTCTTCTGTGTCCTATACATACTTACTGCATTTAGCACACTGCATTGTAATCATATATATACTTGCTTGTCTCTCTTTCCTGATTTTTCTTTGGCAACAATGACAACTTTTTCCTCCTACTTTTCTATTCACAACTCCTAATGAAATGCATGCACACAGACTAGGCATTCTTAAACTAGTGTTTTTAGGAAATATCTGGCATAATTATTAAACTACAAATTCCTGGCTCCCATCCCCAAATTTTGATTTTCAGTAGGTCTGTGAACCACATTTTAAGGAACACTGAAACAGATCTTTGATGTTTGATCTGAATTATACAAAGGAATATAATAATTATGCATAAAATACTGTATATAGTTAATACCTTACTAATATAAGGTACTATCTGTAGAGTTACAGTGCTGAATATATTGTGCTAATTACAAATTATTTACAAAACCCTTGTCGTGACTACTGGACAAGATTGCTATATATGTAAATATATATACGTGAAAAAATCCCCTGCACTTCCTAACAATTAGACTCCATAATGAGTAAAATTAGCTTATCTTCTCAAGATAAGGTTTTTATTAGAAAAGATAATTTTGAACTGTTTGTACCCTCATATGAATCTGAAATAAAAAGAATTTTGAACTAAGATATTACACACCAAATTCTACTGCCTAGTACAAAAGAAACTTTAAATCCAGTCAATGTGAGGAGCATTCCTTTCCCACTCAGTTTTCTAACTACACATTATCATGATAGCATTAATACCAGCCAGAATTTATATTATGTAGGCCACTGAAAACTCTTTAGACTCATACTTCAAGCTTTTGATATTCTTGGGGGAAAGGTTAACATGAAGATTCATTGATACCTGAGATGTAAAGAACTTTATAAACAGCACAAAAAGAACATAAGGCAGATACAAGGACGCCGTATTATATCTTAAGGAGCTACTTGGTTACTTTATCATTTTGACTGAAACCTGATCATGGCTGACAAATGGAATAGGTTACTTGCCTCCTGAATGGACTTGTGGGGTGACTTACGGCATAGTTCAAGGTTCCTATGAAATAAAATTAAAGATGCTTATACTTGGGGGTGGAGTGTTTTTCAGTCAAATTCTACGCAGGACATCAAACAAATTTGGCAAGTTCTAAAACAGGGGTATCCAACTTTTTTTCTCTAGCATACCTTGCAAGAATAAGAGTGGTCTTAGGCTACACTAAACTAATGAAAGATGATTAGCAAGGAAAAGGCCCATGAATACTTTCTGTAATATCTGACACCACAGATAAGCTAAAAAAGTCTTCACTAAATCAGCATGCTGCAAGTTGGACATCTAGAATAACATATGCCTATTCGTTAATGCCCTTGCTCTAGGCAAAATCCATTGGTACTAGCGGGATCAGGGGCTTTTAGAGACACTATGTTGTTTTAACTGGAGTTTGTTCTTTATAGCTATAAAAAAGAAATTTCACATCACATAAAAAAATTCTTTAATACTGTGGCTCATGCAGTTAATGATGCTATGCTGAAAAATACTGATAGGTTTAGCATTCATTACTTCAACTATCTTTTGGAAAATCTAAATAGATAGTGTAACAGGAGTAATTTATCAATTTGAGATTTGAGTAAATAGACAGGGGAATGAGTTGATGAGTGAATCTTGTTGACTGTGAGCATCTGAATAAAAATGTTCCTCTGTTAGGCTCGGCGCCTGTAGCTCAGCAGCTAAGGTACCAGTCACATACACCAGAGCTGGCGGGTTTGAACCCAGCCTGGGCCCACCAAACAACAATGCCAACTACAACCAAAAAAAAAGCCAGGCATTGTTGTGGGCACCTGTAGTCCCAGCTACTTGGGAGGCTGAGGCAAAAGAATCTCTTAAGCCCAAGAGTTTGAGGTTGCTGTGAGCTGTGACGCCACAGCACTCTACCGAGGGCAACATAGTGAAACTCTATCACAAAAAAACAATGTTTATGAATGTAATAAGTCTCATTAGATAATGAAACTACTTCTGTGTGAAAAATAGATCTTAAATAAAAAAACCACCCACTATTGCTAGTAATAAAAGACATCCATACAAATGTTGGTTCTTAACCATAAAATGGAAGTTATATACAAATTAAACAGTGGAATATAGTACCCAAGAACTAGAATGTGAATAAATTTATGATATCCTCTTCACACTGCACGAACTACGTAATTTGAAGATTTCTCAGTAGCACAATTGAAAAATTGACTACTACATTTGTGTTTTTTGTTTTTGACTACTTATATTTAATAGAATAAATAAAAGCTACTTTTAGCATTTGAATTAAGTGCACGTGTGCATGTACATACACAGGACAAGTTCCTTAGCTTTGAACAATATGAACTTTGCATATGATAATTATACTGTCACTGAGAAAAAAATAGTTACTTCACGTATGCTTACTGGGGACAAACAGTAGTTCTCTCAAATAAAGAGTAAAGACACCAGGTCACAAAGTGCCAACTCTCAGCACCAGAGAGACTTAAAACTTCACAGGTGAAATGACATTACAAATCAGAGACTTGCCCAACTAGTTCCGTGGAACTGTATTACTTTGTCAAATGGAAAAAAATCCAAGTTTATGCTAAATAGATTTAAAAAGTTAGATCTCTTTTAAAAATCCTTAGAAGTGTATTTTACAATGTTATATAAAATAAAACTGCTGGTTTATAATAAAATGCTCAAAGTTTCAGAGATATGAAAAACAAAATGACCTGAAAACACAGATTACGTAAACGGAGGTCCTGGAAAGGAAAATTAAAAGCAGTCTTTTGGAGAAAGAAGTAGTAAGACTCAGTGTGTATATGCACTAATACACCTAAAAACTGTTTTGTGGACAGCCAATACTGAATGGAAATTCTAAAATGCCACCTGATACCTTTAATCAACACTAAATCAAGTCTGAGGCAAGACACTGAATGGACAATAATTGAATGGGAAGATAGTAACTTCCTTCCTTGATAGATAATCGTTAGCCATCAGAGTTCAGTTATTTGATGTCTTGGGAAGCAGTGTCCGTTGAGTTTTCCCTTCTAACCTGTAGAGACTCACTGCTGATGGACAATAATTCTCGAAGTTCCTTATTTTCAAGCTAAAAAAAAAAAAAAGGTACTGATTTATTTCTGGCATTTTTACCATTAAACCATATCACAACACATTGTTTTGTTCCAAGAGCAGAAAACATTAATTTAAAAAGTTTTAAGAAAACAAAAAAATCCACAGCTGAGAATTTCCTAAAATATTTATTCATTTAACATTTACTTAGTAATTTCTGCATTTGATCTTAGCCAAAATGCTGAAAAAGAGATACTTAGTAATTTCTGTACACAAAGTGTTAGGACTACAAAGAGGAATTCCAGTTGAGGAATTCACTGTCATATTCTTCATAGTTGTCAAAAGTTTTACTATTTAAAAAATTCCTAATAATCCTTTCACTCTGATTAATTTCCTCTTAGATGTCCTATATTTCTAGAGAATGAAGGGACGGGGGAGAAGAAACTGCTTATTGAGCATATTGTGGGTATATGATGTATGTGACAAATATTTCACAATAATCCGAAAGGTTGGTATCATTACCCACATCCACATTCTACTTAAGATGAGAATACTCACAAAACTCCAAATATTTGTCTGTAAAGGACGAATCTTATTCCTTTCATTAGACTGAGCAGGTACCTCATCTTATTCTCTCTGGCTATTTGTTTGTTTTTGAGGCATAGTGTCACTGTCACCCTAAATGCCATGGCATCATATTTCATAGCAACCTCAAACCGTTGGACTCAAGCAATCCTACTGCCTCAGCTTCCTGAGTAGCTGAGACTACAGGCACCTGCCACAATGCCTGGGTAGTTCTATTTTCAGTGGAGACGGGGTCGAGGTCTTGGTCTTGCTCAGGCTGGTCTCAGACTCCTGAACTCAAGCAATCCACCTGCCTCAGCCTCCCAGAGTGCTAGGACTACAGGTGTGAGCCACCATACCTGGTCCTCTCTGATTATATCTCAAAGGGTTCATGATAGAACCTTGTAATAAGCAGCATTCAAACCATCTACTGAAATGCTTTTATAGAATAATTTTATGGGTGCAGTAATACCACAGGCCGTTCTTTTTGTAATACATTCCTATTTCAATCAAAATATTACATGAAAATAGTTTTTTAAAAAATCAAGCCTATAAGGCTTATAAAATGAACAGTTCTTTGGCTTTGTTCTCCAACAGCAACCACTCTTAAACACTTTTATCTATTTTCTTTGGTATACCCATAATTCCAAATAATATGCTTATACTACTATTTTCTGAGCATCAGTTTATTTTCTGGATAGACAGGGTCTTGCTGTGTTGTTCAGGCTGGTTTCAAACTTCTGGCCTCAAGCAATCCCCCCACTTTGGCCTCCCAAACTTCTGGAATTACAGGCATGAGCCACCATGCCCAGCTCATTCCTGATCATCAGTTTTAATTGCTATGTACTTGACTTCCTGTTATGGCAGATTAGGGATCTTTTTGCTTTGTTTGTTTTGTTTTTTTAAAAGAGACAGGGTTGGAATGCAGTGGCTGAGTCACAGCTGACTATACCTTTGAACTTCTGGGCTCAAGCAATATTCCTGCCTCAGCCTCCAGAAGGAATAGCTAGAAGTACTGGCGTGTGAGACTGTACCTTGCTAATTTTTAAATTTTTTGTAGAGACAGGTCTCACTATGTTCCCCAGGCAAGTCTCAAATTCCTGTCTTCAAGCATCCTCCCACCTTGGCCTTCCAAAGTGCTGGGATTATAGGTGTTACCCACCGCACCTGGCCAGATGAGGGATTTTAACTCACCTATAACCTGTACCTTCCATTCTCTCTACCCTCCCAATAGGATATCTCAACTTTTTTTTGAGCCTCTCACTCTGTCACTCTAGGTAGAGTGCTGTGGTGTCACAGTTCACAGCAACCTCAAACCATACTCTTGCCTCAGCCTCCTGTATAGCTGAGAACACAGGTATACACCACTACGTCTGTTTAATTTTTCTATTTTTAGTAGAGACGGGGCCTTGCTCTTGCTCAGGCTGGTCTTGAACTCCTGACTTCAATCAATACTCCCACTTGGCCTCTTAGAGTGCTAGGATTACAGACATGAACCACCATACCCAGCCTCAACTTTTAGCCAATTCATAGTTGGTATTTTCATTGATTACTGTTTACTGTATTCCTTTTCTTTAAAAGAGTATGAAGGAGGAGTTTTAATTTTAAATTATGATAACACAGAAAACATCAATATACTGCAGTGATATGATGGCACACGCGTTATACTCTGAAAACTGTGAAATACTGTGAACCTATAATAACAACAATCTTACCTCTAATTGGGCTAGTTTTTCCTGAATCTTACAAAACTGGTCATCATCCACCTGAACTGCTTTCCTCATCACTTCTCCCATTTCACAGATTCTGTCAATCTGACTCTCAATTTCCTGTGAGGATATTAAGGAAAAAAAGGTGAAATAGTCATCTTTTCTATAGATATAAAAACATCAGAAGATATGCATTAAGATTTTTAAGAGTTCATTTAAGCTATGCTATATAAATTACACTGGAGTTTCTTGGTAATTTCAGCCCTCAGAGGTAAAGCCACAATAAAGTGATCTTGTAGTAATTCACAGAAAATTTTAAAATACCAACATCAGACTTTCAAGACTTGGAAAAAATAATTGTTTGTTTTATATGGAACCAGAAAAAAAAAACCCGTATAGGTAAGGCAGTTCTTAGTAATAAAAACAAAGCCGGGGGCATCAGCACACCAGACTTTAGTCTGTACTACAAGGCCACAGTGGTCAAAAAAGCATGGTACTGGCACAAAAATAAAGATACAGACATTTGGAATCAAATAGAAAACCAGGAAATGAAACTAACACCTTACAGCCACCTAATCTTCAACAAACCAAACAAGAACATACAGTGAGGGAAAGAACCCTATTCAATAAATGTTGCTGGGAGAATTGTATACCCACATGTGTTAAGATTGAAACTGGACCCGCACCTTTCTCCACTCACAAAAATTGATTCAAGATGGATAAAAGACCTAAATTTAAGGCATGAAACGATAAAAATCCTCAAAGAAAGCATAGGAAAAACACTTGAAGATATCAGCCTGGGGAAAAACTTTATGAGGAAGATTTCCATGGCAATTCCAACAACAACAAAAATAAATTAGTAGGACTTAATTAAACTGAAAAGCTTCTTTACAGCTAAGGAGATAACAATCAAAGCAAATAGACAACCTACACAATGGGAAAGGATATTTGCATTTTTTTAATCAGACAAAAGCTTGATAACTAGGATCTATAGAGAACTCAAATTAATCCACATGAAAAAAGCCAACAATCCCATATATCAATGGGCAAGAGATGTGAATAGAACCTTCTCTAAAGAAGACAGATGAATGGCTAGCAAACATATGAAAAAATGCTCATCATCCCTAATTATTAGAGAAATGCAAATCAAAACCACCCTGAGATATCATCTAACCCCAGTGAGAATGGCCCACATCACAAAATCCCAAAACTGCAGATGCTGGCGTGGATGTGGAGAGAAAGGAACACTTTTACACTGCTGGTGGGACTGAAAACTAATACAACTTTTTTGGAAGGAAGTATGGAGAACCCTCAAAGAACTTAAGCTAGACCTCCCATTTGATCCTGCAATCCCATTACTGGGCATCTACCCAGAAGGAAAAAAATCCTTTTATCACAAGGACACTTGCACTAGACTGTTTATTGCAGCTCATTTACATTGCCAAAGTGTGGAAACAGCCTAAATGCCCACCAACCCAGGAATGGATTAACAAGCTGTGGTATATGTACACCATGGAATACTATTCAGCCATTAAAAAAAATGGGCGACTTTACAGCCTTTGTATTAAATTGCATGGAAGTGGAATAGATTATTCTTAGTAAAGCATCACAAGAATGGAGAAGCATGAATCCTATGTACTCAATTTTGATATGAGGACAATTAATGGGGGTTGAGGGAAGGGGAGAACAGAGAGAGAGAGAGGAGGTAGGGGGTTGGGGGAAAGGAAGAGCAGAGAGAGGGCAGGAGGGAGGAGGGACAGCTCAGTCTCAGTGTGGGACACATCCTTTGGGGGCAAGACACATGAGAGACTTTAACCTAACAAATGCAATCAGTGTAACCTGGCTTCTTGTACCCTCAATGAATCCCCAACAGTAAAAAAAAAACCAAAAACCAACTTGCAGGCCTATGGGCTGCAAATTGGAAAAAAATTTTTTTTCATTTTCAAAAGATCAATTGTAGTTTTACTGCCCTTTGGATGTTCGTCAATACCACTAAATGGCTGTTTAACTTAAATTTCAATACTTTTTTTTTTTTTTTCAGATTTTGGCTGGGCCCAGT